CTGAGAAGGTATTGGTTTTACTATGATGTGTTTTTTTTTTTTTTTTTGTCTGTTACCACTTTTTCTCAGCTCTCACCGAACGGATTTCTTTCAACGATTCATCAAAAGATCACAAATCGTATCTAGTCGAAGACATTACCCTCAAAAATTGAAAAAATGTCCCTCGTTCCCCGTAAATGGGGGAAACCTCCAAAAAAATTACAAATTTAAAAATCGCTAATTTTCGAAATTTTTTAAATTTTTTTACTAAAATGTGCCGTAACTTTTTCAAAAATGAACATATCAATATAAATTTTTTATAGATGCTTGATGTCTAAACCTATCATTTGGTATATATATTTTTTATATCTGACCCTTTACCTGCCCACAGGGGGGGATTCAAAATGACAACTTTTTTACAAAAAATTAATTTTTTCAACTTAAATTTTGAAAGTGTTCCGGAAAGTCTGACACTTTTATATATATCTTAAATTAAAGCTAATGTAATGTACTTTATTATGCAAAAAAAGAAATTTGGACTTTATTTTGTCTTCACGGTGAAAATGGCTACCAAATGCTATTATTGTGTGAAAATTCTCGATTTTATTTTTTACATTTTTAACTCTATAATGCTATAACTTGTTTGTAACAATGAGAACAATAGAAACCCGTTTCCTGACTTACTGAACACTCTGTATAATATAGTTTTAACCACTGTAATAAGAAATAAAAATTGTAGTCAATTTGTGTTTTGATATTTATTTTAAACGTTCACTTAAATTAAATTAAAATATTCTTATAAGAAAATGTTATAAATAGAATGTCACTAAAAATTCAATATAGAATTCTGTATAAGAATTTTGCCTATATCTTTTTTGTTCTTAAAAATGAAATATCACATGATTAATGTAAAAAAAAAAACAGGTTTTTTGCTCTCTTTAAAAGTTTGCACTTTGAACTTGAAACTATTTACTTATGCCGTCCAAATATTTTCAGGGTAGAAAAAAAATTAATTGTATAATTAATTATTATATTTTTGTTAAAATAATGTCATTCTAAAATTATTTTTTTGACAATTCTTTTAATTTTTATAGTATGCTAGTAGAAAAAGTATGTATTAATTTATCAAAAAAATCTAAGTACACTTAAATATTATGTTAATAAATATTAATAAAAAAATTCCGTCTTTACTTAGTAATCGGATATTACTTTTAACGTATCGATGAAGATATATGCCTATCAAAGGAGAGGGAGACACTTTCTTTTCTTAAAAAAAAACAAATGATGATTTTTTTGCACCTAGGACTTTATGCAATATTAAATTGGTCTTAAAAAATGGTGAGCCTTTAGTTCATTAGAAAAATATTCGATATAAATATAATAATCAAGAAAAACTAATTAAACATTATTTTTATAAAAATAAATAAGTTACATAAATTTCTTAGATAAAAAAAAATATATTAACGCTTACAATGAATAATTTTACGAAAATCATTTAAATAAACACATATGTATATTATAAATGACACTTATTTTTTCTTACAAGAACGATATTTTACAAGTATTGCTGTTTGAAATAGAGCGTGAATAAATAAATCAAAATTTGTTTTTTATACTAGTTAAAGAAAATTATCACAAACAAATAGTATTTGAGATTTTGTTTTATTCAAATTAGAAATTTATTTTGTGGATTTTTAAAATTAAATTATAACGTATAAAATTGTGTTTTTCGTTATTTATACATAAAATGTTTATCGAATAATCGATCATCCTTCGGAAACTTTATGGATGTCAAAAGTACTTTTAGTAGAAACGAGTTATGAATTTTAATTTGTAATTCATAATTTTAATCAATTTTATTAGTACAGCTGTATTTATAAAAAATAATATTTGAAATTTCTTGAATGACGGAATGGTGTAAATTTACATACATAAATAATTATTGCAATACTAAAATAAAATCCAAGTGTTTTTCATAAAACACATTAATACGTATTAATAATATAAAAGCTGAAGATTAACATAAAAGAATATCATTACTTTAGTATTTTTATACTATTACTCACAAATTTATTTTACAGATTTATTATTCATTAAATTTTAGTGTCAATTTTTTACACAATTATTTCAACAAAATGTTATTTCGACTATTTATTTTAAATTTTTGGATTTTAAATCAATGTTCGAGGGTTTTCTGTACTTCAAATTCATTTTCAAGCCAACAATTAGAATATATTTTCAATGTATTCAATTGCATTCGTCAACAGGATGGATGGGATTTAAAAATGACGTATAATTTGAGGATCGGTAAAAACACATATCTAAAATATCAACTAAAGAATATTTTAACGGAAATGAATAAGAATAATTTCAAGACAAAAATAACAATGATAAACGAAATAATCATTTTTAGGTACACTGAATCTTTGAAAGTATTTAGACATATATTAAACAGTTTTGTTAATATATGTTACAATTATAAGTATTACGATTCAACAAATTTTATTGATTGCTCTATGAAGTTGCGGACAGCAGTACAAAATTCAAATACCGTATTTCAAAAATTATTATGTGCCGTTATTTTCTTAAGTAATATCAATGAATATCTAAATAATAATTATGAATTAAAATTAGTAAGTATTGTTAACCAAATGAGGCCAATATATAGTCTGACAATAATGGAACTTCAGGATTATAATGATGCATATATTGCTAATAAGGTAATAGAAAGTGTTCATGGATTAATTTCTAATACATTAGACAATACATTAGTTGAACTTGACAAAATAAATGAACACTTTTTACATTTTCATTCAAATTCAGCTAGTGCTACTTTAGCGGTTAAGTATAGTATAGACCCGAAATTAATAATAGCTAAGGACACTGTTGAGGAACATGTGGCCATTTTAGATTTGTATAATGATGCAACAATTCAAGAAGAATATGAACTTTTGGGCTTTGACAAAGTGATCGTTTCTCATACTAAGAGGTAAGTTTTTATAATAATAATCAAAACTTTATCTAAATAACATGATACGGTCTAAATGCTGTTTGATAATAAATTACACGTAACACCGTAATAATTTTGTAGTCCTTTACACCTTTAACTATTACAATAAAATTAAAATACTTGAAAGTAAATATTAACAATAGTAAAGTCCGGTATGGAGTCAATATATATATATATATTTCGACGGTACGTGCGGCGGATGTAAGTCACAAGTGAACTGGTTTACATAGTCGCCGCCGACGTATCTCTCAATGCTGCGCCCCTTGACCAGTTCTATCTACCGACCGCCGGACAAGACAAACTAGTGTTATCATCAACACTCACGAGTATCAACTATCCACTGTCGCGGTATTCACTGTAATGAATAGTGCGCTACTACGGGCCGTGTCAAACATAAGTTATATTATTTCAATTTTAAAGAAAACTTAAAAATAGAAGAATGCAACTTTTTCAAATCGTTACAAAGATTTAAATTAAAGTACGACTGTTTTACAACGCGTTACTATTATTATTTTTTGTGTACTTATGCAATTAGATTGGGTCGTCGCATCGTAACAAAATTATGCTAATATAAATATAATTTAATTTGGTAAAAAAAATTCAATTACCTGATGATAATACCAGGGGCGAGAAATGACATCAAGCTTACCCAGTGATTAATAAGAAAGGATTTTAGGACATTTATATTTGTTTTGAAAGAAGTCTGTGGTCGCTAGTTCACACAAAATTGCTTATATTTCCACACAAATAACAATAATTTAAATTGTATTAAGTATTTACAATTTACAATAGCACCTTGTGCAATTTAGTAATAAAAGTTGATAAATATAACAATAAATATAAATCAGTATTATTAACTATGACTTTGATTATATACACATAGATATAACTAAAAAATAGATTCAATATAAATAATAGTGTTGGATGTATAATTAATATACACTATGATTATTTGTATGATTTATGAATTAAAATTGGCAATTGTTATCCGTGTGACTTACGCAATTTTCTTAATCCAGCCGTGTGGAATATAACAACAAATAGACCATAAAAGTGTTACCTTAGATAATCCGACAACGTCATCCGTGTGACTTAATTAATTTCGGCTAATATTACAAACACCAATATTAACACCAAAATACACTAATCATATAATACAATATTATTTATGCTAAAGAAGCTAACTACATAAACAAACTTGAATAATATTTACATTAGCAAAAAACGTGAATATAATTTTTACTAAATCGCATAAGCAACAAAACACTTTCCTAATTTTATACCAACCTAATTACATACATATGTCGACCGGCAATGATAACCGGCCGACGACGACCATTGATTTCCATCGTGAGTTGAAGGGAAGTAGAGTGGACAGAACCGAATAAGCGCGCTATCTAGTATTTTTAAGCAGTGCGAACACCTGATAATTATAATTTTTTCACTTATGTTAGTCTTATTAGTGTTATTTTTTTTTTTCGATCTCCTTAAATAATTCCTATACAAATATATTATATTGATAAATAATATTATTTAAAACTAAAACATATTTAAAATATGTATTTAAACTTATTATTTTTAAAATGTCTAATTTAAATTATTATTAAATTTAGACTAGGCAATTTAATCAGTGCTATAAATATTTTAAGAATAACACTAATCAGAGTTATTCTTATGATAAATCTATATTCGAGTTTAATAATCAATTTAATCGATTATAATCGTTTATATCATAAATAGTTTATGCACAATGCATGACAAAAGACATCCATTAGTTTTTAAATCAAGTGCTTTGAGTAACAAATCGACTATGTCCTTGTTGATTGCAATGCTATTGTTTTAATTTTAAACAAAATATTACATATTCATTAATATTTTTCATCATAGGCAAATTGAGGAGCAAATTTTGAATTACGTTAACAATTAAGATATAGAAGAAGGAGAATTTGTACCAGATTCATAGATTATTATTATTAATGATAGTAATAATAGTAATAAATAATTATTTTAATTTAAATACGACGATGATTGATTTGAATATAAACTTTATTTTTATAATATTACAAGAAATGAAAAATTGTTTAATAATTAAGTTTTTAATTATTTTTTTGTATGTAGTTTTTAATTAAAATATGATTAATATGTAAAAACCTATAATTTTATTGATCTAGTATTGAAACTACAAAATAATGTTAACGACTGGATTTGAAAAAATAATTTTATAGTTTCAAACAAGTTTACAGTTTTGAATTGATTTTTATGTTTAAAAATTAAAATATATCTGTATTTAAAATGTTTAAAAGAAATATATAATATTTTATTTTAATTAATTTAATATAATTAATGTTGGTTGAAAATATTTGACAAAAAACATATTTACAATTTATACGTTGAATTTATATATATTTTATGGAAATTAGTCAAACTGTTTAGGATATCAAATTAATCTATATTATAATTGATTCTGGGAAATTAATGAATTTTTTATTTTAAACGATAAATGGACTACAGTATCTTAAATGAAAAAAACCCAGCACAGGGGGGTCGCGGCACAGTGGTGACGTGGCATAGTTGGATCAAATATAATGATATCTGACAGTGATTAAAATCACTATCAAAAAAAAACGCTTCGATGCAAATCTTTAGATAGTGTTTAATTTTAAAAAATTGGTGGATTATTCCAAAAGCTTCATAAACTGCTAGTTCCTTATTAATATCCTGATTAAGACAAAGTATGTCGAATAAAAAAGAGATTATTAGAAAATAGTATTTCCCATAAAAAAATTATATTGATCAATACACTTTTCAATAAGTTATAGCATTATAATGTTAAAAATGTAAAAAATAAAATTGAGAATTTTCACACAATAATAGCATTTGGTAGCCATTTTCACCTTGAAGATAAAATAAAGTCCGAAATTTTTTTTTTCCATGATAAAGTATATTACATTAGCTTTAATTTAAGATATATATAAAAGTGTCAGACCTTCCGGAACATTTTCAAAATTTAAGTTAAAAAAATTAATTTTTTGTGAAAAAGTTGTCATTTTAAATCCCCCCTTGTGGGCAGGTTAAGGGTTAAATTTATGAAAAAAATATACCAAATGAAAGGTAATGATATTATGCATCTATATAAAAAAGAATTATATTGATATGTTTATTTTTGAAAAAGTTATGGCACTTTTAAGTAAAAAAAATTGAAAAAATTTCGAAAATTAGCGATTTTTAAATTTGTAATTTTTTTGGAGGTTTCCCCCTTTTACGGGGAACGAGGGAATTTTTTTCAATTTTTAAGGGTAATGTCTTCGACTAGATACGATTTGTGATCTTTTGACGTATCATTGAAAGAAATCGGTTCGGTGAGAGCTGAGAAAAAGTGGTAACAGACACAAAAAAAAAAAAAAACACATCTTAGTAAAACCAATACCTTCTCAGCTTCGCATCGAAGCTAAAAATAAAATAGAGGGTAAAAGAGGTGAGTTACTATTTGTTCTTAATAGTGATATCTCTCGGGTATGATTATATAAGAATAATGAAAAGTGATAGAAAAACATAGTGATTTATTAATGATTACGTAATCTTTCTTTGTTCCTACTTTAATAATGCACTTAAAAGAAGTAAATTTTTAAACCTTATTAATTTAATTAATTAGATAATAATTTAATAATTAGTACCTACCTTGATGTTTCCAGTGAATGTTTAGAAAGGGAATATATTCATCCTATTCACTTATTACATATGAATTAAACAACTGATATTAATTATTTATATCTGTACGATAGCTCACGAAATATTTACACAATTTTTTTATCTTTAATGTGGACTATATTTCATAGGATATTTTTTTTGTTTCTACACTTTACGATACGACGTTTCGCTTTCAGCGCGTCATTGTCACAAACGATGTCCGGTTGCCGACTAAAAACTAGATGACATTTAAAAGCCTGCGCGACACCGCCCCCTACTTACTCACATTTCATAGAATTTGATAGAATTGAAACCAATATCTTTAAATGAAAACGATAAATTAAAATTTGGTGCTAACATTCTTACAAGTCATTAGTATTCATATCTTAATTATTTCATGTTAAATAATTCAACATTTCAAATGATTAAGCTTAAGTCACACCTTCATTTTGTCACTTCGCAACTGACGTATGAAGATTACTATATAATGACCGACTGCAATGTGTTACATAAGTTCATATCAAGCCTTCTATGGATAGAAAGGAATGATCCTCCCAATAAAATTATATTCCTATGGTATTATATAAACATATAATAATAATTTACAGAGTAGGGTGTCTCAGGAGTGGCTTACAGATAAGTTAAAAAAGTTTATTCATTGGAAATGTTATTATTTTGTGGTACTTTATTTTCAAAGATACGTCAAAAGATTCCAAATCGAATTTACCTCAAAGACATTATATTCAAAAATTTGAAAATATCTCCCTCAATCACCGTAAATAGGGAAAATCTCCAAACAAAAATTACAATTTTAAAAATCATTAATATTCTACGTGTTTTCAATTTGTTTTACTTAAAACTGCTATAGCTTTTTAAAAAATTGACACGGTCACAGCGTTGTCACCCGTTTAACACCCCGCTGTCATGTCAGCTCCTTCTCAGCCTCTGCTCCACTGTACACCAAACTGTTACACACACGCGATATCGTCGTGGAGTAAAGTCCGATAAATACCTCACGTCGAATATCCGCTGCAATAATGCGTTTTGTGTCAGTAATCTTCGTGACACTCAACCCAACCCAACCCAACCTACACCGCAGTTACGAATATTTTGACATCTGCCGACATATCTGTACCTATTCTTTATTTCAATACTATTGTGTTTTATCTTTTGTTTTTGTGCACCGTAATGAGTCACTTTCTGATTAAATAAACAACACTAATCGACAAATTCAAATTGTGTCGCCTACTTTATTCACCACCAGTGCACTCGTAACAAAATAAATGAATTGTAACAATTTCTTTTTTTAATAGATACATTAGGTAGGTATTTGTCTATCATTTGGTAAATGTTTTTAAAAATTTGACTCTTAAGATGCATACAGGAGCGTATTCAAAATAGCAACCTATTCACAAAAGTCAATTTTTTTAATTTATAATTTGATAATTTTCCCGAAATTAATATCTACGAGCTCTCACTAGTAACCAAGGTACGCGATTGTCTGTGTCTCCTTAAGTTAATTAAAACTCATTTAAGAAGATGGGGACAATTTTTGGGCAGACATGGGGTAGTTTCCAATTCTTGCTTTTGACCAAGATCCCTACGTTTTAAAAAGAACCCTAATAATGATGAATGCAGATTTGTGACAACTATACATTGCACCCGAGTAGAAATATCAAAATGCACCTTTTAGTTTAATACTGTCCAGATACTGAGGCATGTGCGAGGTGATGTGTGGCAGCTAATTGTTGACAAAAGATTAATTTAGTAAACAGATGCAATTTTTTTTTTTAAGCATTAAATTTTATCTTTGAAAATATAAATAACATGTCCTTAAAATTTGTTTATACACCCGAGTAAAAAATCAAGTGCAGTCACGGTGTCAATATTGTTCAAAAGACAGTTAAAACACGGTGCAAATTACGTTTAGTGCACAGTTTTTTTCGATTAAGAAAAGGTGATTATAAAATGGTGATTATTACACGTATGTGCATCCAGAGTGTGAATGACAGTGTAATGATAGTTTTACAATGGTTCATAGACATTCAAATGACTGTGCCACGACGACTAATGTTTAGTATAATAACATCAACAGATCATATTCGGTGAAAATTTTTTAATTAGTTATTTCAACATGTCATAAACACTTCTTATTTTTGTTTCTATTTTCTGCCTAAAAAAAAATTAGTTATGCCAATGAACAAATTAAATATTTTTAGCTTCGATGCGAAGCTGAGAAGGTATTAATTTTACTATGAGGTTTTTTTTTTTATTTTTGTGTCTGTTACCACTTTTTCTCAGTTCTAACCGAACGGATTTCTTTCAACGATACGTCAAAATATCACTAATCGTATCTAGTCGAAGACATTACACTCAAAAATTGAAAAAAATTCACTCGTTCCCCGTAAATAGGGAAAACGTCCAAAAAAATTACTAATTTTCGAAATTTTGAAATTTTTTTTACTTAAAATTGCCACAACTTTTTTAAATATAACCAAATCAATATAATTCTTTTTTTTATATATAGATGCATCATATTATTACCTTTCATTTGATATATTTTTTTTATAAATTTGACCCTTTCAGATACATTCTTTATCTGCCCACAGGGAGGGATTAAAATGACTTTATCACAAAAAATTAACATTTTCAACTCAACGTTTGAAAGTGTTCTGAATATAGTGACACTTTTATATATATCGTAAATTAAAGATAATGTAATATACTTTATTATGGAAAAAAAAATTTCGGACTGTATTTTGTCTTCATCGTGAAAATAGCTACCGTATTCTAAAATATGATATTTTTGTGTTAAAATTCTTGGTTTTGTATTTTATTTTATTATAAGGGGATTACACTGATTTTCATAAATATTATATCAATCTAATTGACATAGTATAAAAAGTTAAACATATTTAAATTTTTTTGTTTCTTTGAAGTCGAGAAAAATAACTTTAAAATTTGAAATAGCTAAATTTCCATTTTTAGTAAGTGACGAATGCGACGTACGGTTTCTGAAACGGTAACACTTGTGTCTTTCACGTCTGTGGCACTGAATTTTTTCTTAATTCTTTTTGAGTTAGAAAAAAATGTTTAACTCATTTGATTTTTATCTCATTTAGATTCAATAACTTCAATAAATATCAAGGATTCCATACTGTAGACTCCTCTTGTGAGAAGAAATCCATATTAATATTATTTTACTACGTGGTTTTTTTTTTGTAGCTATCATTTATCGTCTCACCTCTCAGTGGACCTACTTTTTGACAATTTTTTTTTTTTAAATTAAACACTATCTACAGATTTGCAATGAAGCGTATTTTATGATAGTGATTTTAATCACTGCCAGATATCATCTATGCTGTACCTAACTATGCTACGACCCCACTGTACTGGGTTGTTACTTTCATAGTTCCTCCCTTACGAAAAAATCCTGTATTCCATTGCTAAAATAAACCCAAAAATTAACTATGGTACAATTTTTACCGCATATTGCGTTAAATTATTTACAATAATATAAACTTAAAGTAAGTGCTATTTCTGTTAATATTAAAATATTGTTCTAGTTTTTTCTAGTTTAATTAAAAATATATTTTATGTTCAAATAAATTAACAGTTGTAATAATATAATAATAATAGAAATAGTATACAGTTATGTCATCTATTGTTATATATCATATCGAAAAAAAATTTATATGTATTTTTGATTCGTAAAGTTTATCATTTTTTTGTGTTTCGAAAAAAAAAAGAAAATTGACAATTATCGACTTATTTCATTAATAAAAGTCATTAATGACTAATGAACTCTTGTGGGGTCTATATTATTTATTTCTTCGTGAAAAACATCACACATCGCTGTATCATTACAATAAGTAAAAAAAATCTTTGTTCCCACACCGTATCTTCTATATGTAATTTAATAAAGTTAAACAAAAAATGTTATTTTGGTTTATATAGTCACAATTATTCAAATTCGATTATTTTTCGATTTACGTGTTAGTCATAACTATTTTCAGGGAGATTTTTTACAACTTTAATAAGATAAAATTTTAATAAAATTTTAATGGCTTATAATAATCGTACCAAACTATAATGATGGTCGAATAAATTGTGGTGTAACTCAGCTACAACTTTGTGTTCTGTGCCCATACTGTGTCGACATTGATGAACGATTTGTTCATCAACATTCTCCATAAAGTAAAATTACAAAGAAACTCGTAATTAGCATTAAACATCGTTAAAGTGATCAAGTCCGATAATAAAGAATAAATAATTGCCGAGCACAATTTAATAATAATACAAGGACACCACCGGTACTTTTGTAGGTGTACTCCACCCGCGTCCTTATTCACTCTATATATTAAAAAGCTTGTAACTCAATGAGTATTTTCCCTAAAAATGTTATCGACCCATGAAAATTTTTTCAAGTAAAAAGATAAAAGATTATTCTGAAAACGATCAATGATTTGTGTTATACAAAGAACAATAAAATTAACGCAATCTTTCACATAAATAAAATCGTTTAAAGGTATGGATTTTCTCAACAAAATTATTCACTGTATCAAAGGATTTATGATTTTTCATTATATGAAATTACGCCCCGTATAAATAAGATTGAACAATTTTAAGTAAGACAGTGCAGCATTTTTTGTGCGTTAAATTTAAGCGCTAGCAGCACAATTAACATGCAGTACCATTATGTAGAAACAAAAATAATAAATCCGATAAATATACGTGTCTCTAAATGTGTAAACAGCCTAAGAAATTTTTAATCTCGAAACAATCAGGTTTAATAATTTTCCATATATTACCATTTAAAAAAAAAATCATTATAATGATATTTCCTTTTCTTTTTTTAGCTCGATGAGAGGCTGAGAAGGTATTAATTTTACTATGCTGCGTTTTTGTTTTTTTGTTTTTGTCACCACTTTTTTTTAACTCTTATTCAACCGATTTCTTTTGACGATACGTCAAAAGATCACAAATCGTATCTAGTATAAGACATTACCCTCAAAATTGAAAAATTTCCCTCGTTACCAATAAATGAGGGAAATCTCCAAATCAATATGAAATGAACAGATCAATAATTTCTTTTTTTGAGTGTACGCTCTTTATTTTTGAAGTTTTGCCAAAAATACAAAGAACAATTTTTATAGAACTCAATGTGAAAAAAAATAAGGTAATTTATTATTTTTTTGTTAAAATAATATTTTTTCGTAAAAATAAGAAAAATTAGTTTCACTTAATTTTTTTTAAAAAATTACATAGTATTCAGTTATACTTTTCCAGTGTGTTAAATTTTAATTGTACCCAGAAATTATACAGAAGTAATATTAATCATCATGATATCTTCTATAAAAAAGGTTATTTGAGATTTTTCGAATTATGAATCCTTTCCAAATAAAAATTTAAAACAACTACTAAAATGTGTTTTTTTTTAAAATTTTTTTTGCATATATGTTTTTTTGTTCATAAATTAACAAATTTTCTTAGTTATATTAAATAAAAAATAAACAAGAAACACAATAAAATAATAATTGTTTATCACAATAATAGTTTTTTCCTATTTGAATATTTTTTATTCAAAATTTCTTGGCTACACTTGGATACAGCTGGCGATATTGTTGAACCACCTAAAATAGTCCAAGGTTATATAGTAAAGGTTATAATACAAATATAATAATTTAAAATTTAAAATTTTGGTGTACTATTANATACAAATATAATAATTTAAAATTTTGCAGTACTATTATATAATTTCATACTTGTAATATAAATTGCTTTTGATTTTCATCCCAAATTTGTCGTTGAATTCTGTCGTTTACTATTTTTGTCGAGGATAATATTTCTTTGGCGTTATTGTAATCATTATTTATTTCCCATGTGGTAGGATCTTCATATAAAAACTTGAATTTTAATTTAAATCGCTCGAATAATTTCCATGAATTGTTGCTAAGCAACGAAAAAGGAAGATCTTTATCTACAAAATCTGATAAATCTTCATATTTTATAATTAATTTTTTACTTGAATCTTTATTTTCTTCTGCCTCTTCATTCGTGCTCTGTTCATAACCTTATAATATTTTTTTTGCCATTCGCTGTTTAATATTAATGTCAAATCTATCGTCAAATAAAAAAAACACAGCACACTCATCATTTAAATATCATAAATGGTTTATACATTTTTTATAGCTATTTCTCCTAGTTTATTATTACTGTAATTTAATAACTTTTTTAATAACATTAAATCATTACAGGAGCTGTTATAATATTCGCAGCTGAAAACCACATTTTAATATAACATTCAACTACAAAACAACACTTATCTTCTAATGCATTTACTTCTTTTGAAAGCCCAGGTAATTGACTCATTTCTTCAACGTTTTCCTCCATATCAATATCTTCGTCCTCCGAAATAGAACTGCTATAATATTGAGTTTCGGCTAAATAATAAAATACTTCGGTATATAAAAACTGCTTACTTATAATGTACTGAAATTATTGTGTAATATTAAATAATTACCTGTACAATTTGCGATTTCTAATTTCTCTTTTTACTTTCAATCATCTTTTTCTTCTTGTCGAGTAATTTTACGTTTTTCAATACCTGTTAACTTCATATCAATATCAAGCATGCACCCTGGGAGGCCATTTTTAAGTTGTGACAATAAAAACTGTTTGTCTTCTTCAATATTCATCATATTCAGAGCTTCGATATGAGAAATGTCAAAGAGGTTGTCTAATTCTTCAGAAAAAATATTATAATGTTGTTCTTGTGTTTCTGTTTTTCTAGATTTATTTTTGTCCAACTTTCTCCATTTCTCATACAATTTTTTTAATTTAATAACACAGTCTGAAGTAAACTGTGTAGTAATACGCGCTTTTCTCCAAAATATTAAGCACTCATCTATTACAATTATTATTTTATTGTGTTTCTTGTTTATTTTTTGTTTAATATAACTAAGAAAATTTGTTAATTTATGAACAAAAAAACATATATGCAAAAAAACTTTAAAAAAAAACACGTTTTCGTAGTTGTTTTAAATTTTTATTTGGAAAGGATTCATAATTCGAAAAAAACTCAAATAACCTTTTTTATAGAAGATATCATGGTGATTAATATTACTTCTGTATAATTTCTGGGTATAATTAAAATTTAACACACTGGAAAAGTATAACTGAAAACTATGTCATTTTTTAAAAAAAATTAACTGAAACTGATTTTTCTTATTTTTACGAAAAAATAATAAATGACCTTATTTTTTTTCACATTGAGTTCTATAAAAATTGTTCTTTGTATTTTTGGCAAAACTTTAAAAATAAAGAGCGTACACTCAAAAAAATAAAATCTACCCCATTTTTGAAGAACTTCAACCCCTTTGAGGCACGTGAAGGGGTTGACTTATTATACTCAAATTTTACCAGTTTTACTTTTTCAGTGAACCTAACGAAATTTATGAAGTTGAAAAATAAGGACCACCCTAGTATATATAATATTTATATATCATATATTCATATATTACACTTATACATCATAAAACTTCATATCAAGGAATTCATTAAGGAAATAATGTAGCTTTTGGAATAATCCACCAATTTCCTAGAATTAAACACTCTATAGATTTGCATTAAAGCGTTTCTTATGATAGTGATTTTAATTACTAATTGTTAAAAAAACATGTTGAATTTTGATTTAATAAATATTGCGAATTATACCTTATTCATTATTTTTTGAATTGTAATAAATTATAGAATATTTACGAATTNGTTTAAAAGTTACTTACTAAGGAAGAAGTCATAAAAACACAAAATTTCAGAAAACATAAAGATAAAAAAAAAAATCAATAGAAATAGAAGAACAATAAATAACTATAGAAGTACAAAAAAATATTGCTAAGCCATATAAATGCAAAATTAAAATCATTTTTGATTCTNTAAATTATAGAATATTTACGAATTATATAACAATTTTACAGAACTACCTTAGTTAAGAAAATTTTTACAAATATTTTCAGAAAAATAAGAAGCTATAGAAGTACAAAAAAAAACATTGCTAAGCCATTTAAATGCAAAATTAAAATCATTTTTGATTCTAATAACCTTTAGTGAATTTTTGATAGTTTTAGATTGATAATGAATCAATGAACCACGAGTTAGTTTCAATAAAATGTGTCGTAATTTTATTAATAAAGTTTATATGTAAAATATTGTTTATATATCACGATAATTATAAGTAAAAAGGTATATTCAGGGACATAGATAAGGATGAAGTGTTCAATCTTCATAAATAATTAATAATTATGCCTTTTGCTAACTTTACGTCTTATGTTCAAAAATTAAAATAATTCCTGGAGTGTTTTACTATTCCTAAATTAACAATAATTGTTATTAAACAAAATTATTAATAGAAATAATAAAAATATTTAATATACATCGAAATAACTAATTTTATTATATTAATAAAATAAAACAATTTTAAATGTGAAATTAACAATTATAATTAAATTAATTAAGCTAAAAATAATAAAGACCCATTAATAAAGGTATAACAATCTACAAATCCATTTATATTCTAAAAGTAAAATCATTATGAGCGTCTTCATTTAATGAGAATTCATTTACAAGTATTTTAATATTTTCCAAATCAGATTTAATATCCTTAATTTTAGACATTCCATTTGAGTTTTTCAAATGAAGCAATTTGAAATTTTTTCCGTGCGATTTTGGAAATTCTTTGAGCTTCTTAGTCATACTTTCATTTATAGTACTGCTATCGTCGATTACATATAGTTGAACATTATGACTCAAAATAACCATTGCCATACGCAAATATTGTGAAAAATTTTTTGAAGAATCTGTTAAGTTGTTATAATTATACATTATTATTTCCATAAGAATACTTGGGATATTTAATTCATTACATTTATTTATTAAATTTCGCAATCCTTCTAATACTATATTTGACACTAAATCTTGATTTATTCCTTTCAACAATGCCTCGTAGCCATATGAGGTTAATAAATAAGAATATACAAAGAGTCGTTTTTCTAAACAGTACCTGTATTGTACAATACCATTTTCGTAATCTTCATCAATTTCACAATTTTTAAGATATTCTTCTAGAGTTATAGCTTTTTCATCATGTACCGTTTCTGTATACTCTTGTTTAAGATAGTTCCATGTTTTATCTTTTTGCAATGTCAATATTTGCTGTAAATTGGATGTGCTTAGAATTTCAAATACGTCGATCGATAGAATAATAAAAAATAGAGTCAATGACATTTTAATGAAGGAAACGTAAAAAAAAAAACACTTAATTGTATTTAAAAGTGGACTAAAATTTGAGCTATTATACAAGATATTTTATAACTTAGATCTAATTGTGTTAGTCAATGGTATTTAAAGTACAATTTTTATTTACTTCTCAAATATATAAAAACTATTAGGAAAATAAAAGCTCTTCATTTATATTTGTATTTATATTGTAAAAATGAACACTGTTTTTACATTTAACATAAATCTTTAGCTTACCTAATGTGTGAAACTTCGTCCATATACATTATTCATCCTGTTAATTGTAGTAGCAAATTTATAACTATCTTGAATACCAAAATTAATAATCTTGTTACATAGCAATGAAATATTTCTAGAATATTCCTAGAATATTTCTTTTTGATATTAAAACATTTCTAAAATATAAATATAACACAATATATTAATGGTATTATTTCTAAAATATTATAAAAAAAATATTTTGACAATATTTCGCAGGATGTTTTATGAATATAAATAAATGGTTTATTTTTTTTATACTTATGTATAATCATTATTAGACACGTAAAATAATTTAATAATTAATTTAATTTAATTACATTGCAGATTAATTTAATAAAAAATAAAGGAAATTTTCTAGGTAATATTTTAATAGTGAAAACAAAAGACGTTAGATGTGATTCACTTAATTAATCAAATAATAAAAAACAATTAAATTTATTATTATTTTTCGATTAATTAAGTAGTTTATGATAAGTGAATCACTGTGTATGTAATTACAATTTTTGAAGGAGCACTTGCCAACACGTGTGCCATAGTTTTTTGAATAATTGAATTAATCGTATTTGCATTGTCTGGATCATTGTTATTTTTAACAGACTCTAAAAAAATGTGTTTGTTCTATGTATCAATAATTTTATTAATTTGCATTAAATATTTTTTATAATTATAATAACTAATTATGAACATAGTTTAAATCAATATTAAAATAATATTATAACTATATAATAACTTTATAACTGTAATATTCTGCAATTAACTTTCTTTTATTATTAATAAGCCATTGATTTGTTTATACTCATATTATTTTATACTAACATTCAAGTAGTTCAACTACTATAGTACTATAGTAGTATAGAAACCGTTTAATTATTATTAGTGAAGAAGACTCATTCTCTTACTAATAAATATCAAAATAAAAACTATATCATAAAATAAATCAGAGTTGTATCTTATAAGAAAGTAATATTTGTGATTTTTTATACTAATTTAAAAATTAGCTTTTTAGTTTATTTAATCGAAAATTCAAATATATAATTTTTCATGCATTGGGTTATACATATATATGTATATTTAACCCCTCAAGGATATCTTATTGTATAATAGAACAAGGAAAAAAATACTTATCTGGGAAAACTACTTAGCGTGCTCGGATTTTAGTTTAATTATTTTTTTGTTTTGTATTATGTTTGTTATCAGCTTCTATGCGAAGTTGAGAAGGTATTATTTTACTATGATGTGTTTTTTTTGTGTCTGTTACCACTTTTTTTCAGCTCTCACCGAACGGATTTCTTTCAACGGTACGTCAAAAGATCACAAATCGTATCTAGTCAATGACGTTACACTTAAAAATTGAAACAAATTCCCTAGTTCCCAGTAAATAGGGGAAATCTCATAAAAAATTACAAATTGAAAAATCGCTAATTTTCGAAATTTTTTCAATTTTTTTTCTTAAAACTGCCATTACTTTTTCAAAAATGAAGAAATATCAATATAATTTTTTTTTTATAGATACATTCTTTATCTGCTCACAGGGAGGGATTCAAATGACAACTTTATCACAAAAAATTAACTTTTTCAATTCAACGTTTGAAAATGTTCCGGATATACTCACGCTTTTATATATATCTTAAATTAAAGATAATTTAATATATTTAATATGAAAATAACAAATTTCGGACTTTATTTTATTTTCATGGTGAAAATGGCTACCGTATGCTATTTTTGTGTGAAAATTCTCGATTTTTTATTTTATATTTTTAACTTTATAATGCTATAACTTATATAAAAGTGTATGGATCAACATTATTTTTTTATGAGAAATAATATTTTTTAATAATCCCTTTTTCATTCGATATACTTTATCTTAATTAGGATATTAA